AAGAAGAAAATGGGAAAAATATGAAAAGAGCAACATGTAGTGGGCGGGACTTGAGTGTTGAAAAGGTTTGTGGGCTAGATTTTTCTCAGTGACGTCACTTTTACACAGTTTCCTTGAATAGCACCTGTGTGCATGGGGGCTGTCTGTCAGTTCTGAGTAAAAACATAACCCATGCCAGCAAAAACATATCTATCAGTGTTCTCCACTGGGCAATGGAGACAGACTGTGTCCTTTTTTTCCTCAGAGGCCAACATCGACTCTGTTTGTCTTTAACGCTAGGTGTTAGACCCCTCAACCCCTTCATTTTCTAAACCCCATAGCATTTTAGCATCTTTTCTGTGAGCCTACGTACATTTCTTTTTTTAAACGTCCTTTTTGTGAATTCAAGTGAGTTTAATTATTTTTGACAAAGACTCCGCTTTATCTTTGTGCAGTGAAAATTGCTGTTTTTTGTGCGCCTGCAATCAACGCCCTTGTGGATGACCCCAGGTGCCTAATTCAGAAATGGTAAGTGCCAACAATTTAACATCAGATAAATCAGCGTGTCTCCCATTATATTGTATATCTGTATATTGTATTTGACTGATAAATACCGAGAATATCTGTATCGCGTTCTGAATATTTACTGTTTTTGTCCTGTTTATTGCAACAAATTTGCTCTGCTAGTCCAAAGAAACGTTTTTTCCTATATTTCGTGATTGCCTGCCATTGTCTGTCACTGTCACCCGCTTTCTCTTATTGACTTTCAGTTGTGCAACTGTTCCATTCTGTCTCCGCATCCCTGCATTTAACATTAAACTGCACAGAGATGTGACATCCTGAGAAATCTGGTTGATCTTAATCATTCTCATGAAAAGCTTTTAAAATGCACATTATCTACCAACATGCACACCTTAGACTGGCACACACACCACACTGACATACTGTAGATGTATGCACACACAAATACAAGCAAAAGCACACACACACACACACACACACACACACACACACACACACACACACACATTTGCAGATCAGGTTTCATTGTGTCAGTGTGCAGTCCACACACACACACATACACACACACAAACACACACACAGGGTTGTCTGTGTAGAGGGTCCGGTGAGATGGCAGCGCTGTTGGCTGACATGCTATCAAGTTTCAGTAAATACTCACATCATCCTCTGCATCCATGGCCAGGATTTACATTCAGTAGGAATCACTTTCACACAATTAAATTTGGCGTAAATCTTAAGTGCAGAGCAGTGAATGCAGCGATGATTAATCACTTTTTCTTTAGGCATCGGCAGAAAAGATTGAGGAACAGATTTTTAAAAATGTATTCTTATAAGAATGAAAACATGTTTTTATCTGCTAAAACTGTAGAATACGCTGATCATATGCTAGAAACTCCTACTGCCAGCAGCCATTTCCTATTCTTAATATATAGTATATGATTTTATGACTATGTGGTAATTCAAATACATAGGGTGACTTGTTGGAACAACACCTAAAATAAAAGTGATTTTTGTGATATAAATCAAAAATCTAATGTTTTACTTTAACTAGTATGTTCACTGTAATATGTGTCCAGCTAAAGCATTAACAAAATGGCCAAGTGCCAGTGAGAAACAACTGACTGTACGACTTTCCTCAAAAGCTGACTTCAGACGTCCAAACCGCTATTATTAATGTTAAATTATTGATCATTATCGACGACACAAAGACCTTTACCTGGAACCTATAGGCTTTGTTGACAATGTGAAACTGAGTACAGTACATGCATGTGGGAAAAATGTTAAATTAATGCAGTCGTTTCCAGATAGGGGGGGGGGGGTGGGAAAGACCTCGTTTATGGGGGAAAACTACTAAAGGTTTTACTTTTTCTCAATAATCAGTTTTTTTCAGCCTCTTATAGCTTCTTCCGATAAGTAATCAATTGAATCTGGTTGGAAATGACAGGAAAAAATCCATTAAAAAGAGTGTCTGTATTGTTTTAATTATATGCTTATGTGATGTTGTAGATTCCTTGCAGTATCTTAGTGTTAATTCTTTTAACTAGGGCAGCAACTAGCATTTATTTCTATTCTCAAGTAATCTGCAGATTATTTTCTTAATCGTTTGGTCTATTAAAAAATCATCACCATATCCTAGAGCACAAGGTCTTCAAACAATCGAAAACCCTAAAATATTCAATTTACACCAATGTAGAAGAACAAGAAAAGCAGCCTGTTGTCTGATTTAAGAACATGGAACCATCAAATATTTGGCGTTTTTGCTTGAAAAATGAAATTGAACAATTAATCAGTTATCAAAACAGTTGCAGATTAATTTTCTTTTTCTCAATTCATCGCTACACCTATACTTTTAACTGCAACGTTTCACATTATTCTGTTGTGAAACATATTGACTACTGCCTTTAATCAGTACGAAACTTTATCGAACAGACAAAACATTTACTGAATTAGTTCATTAATTTTGCTACAGCATTCAACTACTTAATTGTAGCTGCGTCGATGATTGACAACTGAATTTACACTGAAACACAGATGTCAGTACGTTATGAACACACCACAGTGACTGATGGCTTGTTATCAGCTGGTGTTCTCTTTCTGTTTTGGCATGCAGGGTTGCTGGATCACACAGTTTGTCCTGGCAGATAACCCAGACGCCGACCCCTGGCCCTGCTTCCAGCCTCTCTACCTTCATCCATCCCTCGGCCTCGTCCTTCCTCCAGAACATCAGGATCTCAAACACTGAATCCTCCACAGGTTTACATAAAACTGTTGGTTCCATGCTACAAGGTGGAGAAACTGCATGTTGTGTGGACGTTTTTGGTGGTACACTAAATAGACAGAACTCCAAATATCTATGTTTATTAATACAATGTAGTGGCAAAAGGGAAATCAGTAAATACAGATGCAAGATGGTGACTTTTTCATTCCTCTTTACAAATGTGAAAAATGGTAGAAGAGAGACGATAAAGTAGTCGCACAGAGATAATTGCAGTAATTGAAATAATAGGCCGTGCAGGGGAACTTGTACATCTATTCTTTAAGTGTGTTTCTTTCGAGCATAAGTTTGAGCACTTTTACAGATGGTTTCTTGACAGGCTGCCAACCGATTCATTTAATCTCCACAAGTACAAGGAGAAGGCCGCTCAGGACTGCCAGTTCTGCTGTGACAAACAAGCTCTGGCCTTCAACCAAGCGATTCGACTACCAAAGAAAGTTTGGTTTGAAGGAGAGCCATGGAGGTTTTGTCAAAAGCTCTTTTAGCCTTCCCTTGTCTCCACAGGAAGATTTAGATTACATTAGCTCAATGAGGCCACCTTGAGTACAGCTTGTAGCTTGGCAACAGTTAATATATATATTCAACTATTTCCAGTAAGCTTGATTCTAACTCCCAGTAAGGGTTTAATTGTTGTTGTTTTTTTTGTAGGTGGCTAGGAAAATGCTTTACAAGATTTGAATTTGCAGAGACGAAGAGTCCATTTTAGAAAAATGCTGCTCAGTTATTAAAAACAAAAATGTACATTTCATGGCCTTCACTGGCTGGATGAGTGAGTCCACAGCAGTATGGAAGACTAGTGATTTTGTTGTTTTGTGGTTAAACTGACAACAAGTCATTGTCTCCCTCACTGCTTTGAGACACAAGCTTGAACTAAAGCCAAGTCGGTAAAATTTCTCTCAAAATTTGATTTCCCTTTGGGTTGCATAATAAAAGAGGCCATTTAAAAAAACATCAAGCGCTCCAGTTGCATTCTAAGAAAGATGAGCAGTAATTACAGCCTGATGTCTATTACTTCTTGTCTACTATTGTGCACACTAAACTGGGTCAAATCAACATGTATCTCCATGGAGAAGTTGCACAGTTGTGGGTGAAAATACTGCATTGCTTTTAAAATAGTATTATTTTTTGTAAATCATTAAACCTTTCAACTGTACTCCACAGTGAAAACACTGGCTCAGGTATGCCTGATAGAAATGTAATTTCTTAATAGCATGCAAATACTAATCCATATTATTGAGTTATTGATGAAAAAATAATTGGCTATTTGTGTTTAAAATCAACATTTTTTTTCTTTCTTTCTCATTTCTTCATTTAAATTGTCAATAAATCATTTTATTTTCAGTCAGTTGGCTCATGTCTGCAGGGTTTGTGGTAAGTGACTTTTTTTCCTGTCTCTTCGGTCTGGATGAAATGGCAGCATACAGACAGAGGTGGAATTTGACTGGTTAGAAACACAAAGGTAATTTGTCAAAACAACTTACGTTAAATTGACCTCACAATTACCTTCGTATAATTTTGAACACATTGTTTAAACAGTGTTGAAAATAGAAATAATAACCGTAACCTTTTATTATTCCTAACAGCTTAAGGTAAATTGCTCATGCCGAGGTTTGTATGCAACGCTCAGGTATTTCTGAGATATTGGTTGACTCTGCTTGAGCTATGGCCAAATTGTAAATTAGACATACAAATGCGTAAGTTGTTAATCTGCTTTTTTACACAATTATAGCAGAGATTTTATTTTCTTTCCTCCCAAGCTTAAAGGTTGTTGTGATAAGAATAGATGAAGCTGGATCTGTTCAGCTTTTACACGGTCAGATTAGTTCTGGTTATCACTCTGATTGGGTTTTAGATTAATTATTGGCCTAAAAGTCAATATATCCATGAATTTGGGTTGATCTCATTAGACTGATGTTATCTGTGCTGTTAGATGGACTCACTATTTGACAGCCTACTTCAGAATATTGAAAGATAAATTATGGAAAATACAGATGACCCAAAGGTTAGAGGTAATGTTGATATCGACTTCCACTTCACTGAGAAAGTCAAATTAGACTCTGCTACAATTTATTTCAATTCGACTTTATGACTTGCCCTTTGGCATTTCTTAATCTAAATGTCTAATAAATGGACATTTCTGTAAATGTACCAGTTTTCACCTGCAGTCCTTGGGCAGGTGTTACTCATATAAGCCAAAAATAAAGAATGAATCGGCTCAAAATGATGACTTTCAAACCCCTTTTAATGATGACATTCAAGCACCACATCTCAGATGACTTTAAGACAGAGGAGTATGACAGACAAACACCAATGAAGCATTTTGGGCAGAGCCAGACATGAGCACTAGCCCGGTTTGGGTGTTACTGCAGCTGGAACTAACCAGGAGCAAGCTTTACTGGGGGGGCATCAGAGCCTTGGTCTGGTCCATCACCTGCTGGAAGAACTTCTCCATCATGTCAGTCAGAGGCTTGACCTGGGCGTGGAAGTTGTCGGTCAGAGGCCTGACCTGAGTGTTGAAGTTGTCAGTCAGGGGCTTGATCTGATCCTCAATGTTGGCGATGAAGGGCTTGACCTGCTCCTGCAGCTTGGCGGCCTCGGCCTGGACCTTCTCAACCAGAGGCTGGATCTTGGCCCTGCTGTCCTCCATGTAAGTCCTGTGGAAAGTAGAGGATGTCACAATCTTCTGTTAATCACTGCTGTTGTCTCTGACTTGTATTTTAATAAAGAACAAGGAAGTAAAACTGCCTGACAATTTATTAGTATGACTGTGAATGAAATATCCCTAATACACCGGGTCAGTCAGGGTGGATACTTTGTGTATTTATATATGTATTTAATGCAAGTTTTATCTCAAATACAAGCCATTTACTACCACAATTACAAGCAAAACAAACTATTGCATCCCAATAAAATATATTATTGTGTCCATAAAATAATGAGGAAAGCCTGAATTCAGTGCAGTTAGTAGAGGTTTCTGTCAAAGCAGTAGATAATGAAGAAATGGCAAGAAAATAAAGAATTCTGTTGGTTGTTACTTACTGGGCAGTGTTGGTCACCTCAAGAGCCTTCACCTTCTCCACCATGTCCTGGGTTGCGGTGGTGATGCTGGCAGACATGTCATTGATAATCTTGGTGATCTTGTCCACGTCGGCCTGCACATCACGCTTCACCAGTGACACGGCCTCAGTGCCTGTGAACACACATTTACTGTTCTTTATGTCAAATCCACTAATATTAATTAAAACTTACACACTGCCTATAAACAGTAATGCCTTCAATTCATTAGACTAATGGGTAGGCATTCACACACAATACAACTATTGGAGTACAGCTGAAGTACTAGTCAGCTTTGTCTTTAAACCCTTTGAATCTGGTTGATTCCCAGGTTTTTAATCAAGTGTGTTAAGTCTAACCTTTTTAAACTTATAAAACTAAAACACTTATGACATACAGTGTATTCTAAATTTTGTAGTGGTAAAGTTAAAATCAAGGCCTTTTTAGTTGTTAAAATGTCAAAGAGAAAAGGTTTGGGTGTACAGAAAATGAAACAGATATTCAGAGGTCTGTATGTAATCTTAAAAATACATTACTTATATCAATGCTTTTTTAACTTACCATGGGCAACAGCCAGCACAACGACAAGAGCGGCAACAAGGGAGAATTTCATGGCTGCAGATGAGGAAGATCAACCTAGAGAAAGTTAAAGAATTAGTCAGGAGACGCTGGAAGTGGCAGAGATCACAATAAAAAGGTGGAAAACTGTAGTAAAGCAGCCATTTCTGATAATGTAAGAAATTTAAATAATAGTTAATTTCCCTCAAATATATCAACAATGCATTTTCATCTACAGCCAAACAAAGATGACCAAAGTAAAGCAGCAAGAGACATACCTTAACTCCTGGGGTTCTTGGACCTAACGGTGCCTTCTGTCATGCAGCCAGAGGCTTTTATAGCTCCTGAGGATGAGTAAATCATGGCTAATGAGAGTGTAATCACCTCCAACGTAAAGAAGTGACCTGACAACAGGGATGCAATCTTTGTGTTGGCTGGACCTTGATGCTTGATAGCTGTCACAAGAAAGACACAAAGTCCACTCTGAGTGTGAGTGTGTGAGTTGGAGAAAAAGATTAGTTGTGAAGTCTTGCTGCTATAAACCTCATTCATTTGATCACTTTAACTGCATTTACTCAAGAGCTAAGAATTACATGAGTATTTTTAATGTTTTTTTAATTTATTCTCAACTACATTTTAGAGGGAAATATTTGGCTTTTTACTTTACTACAATATTCTGACAGCTGGAGTTACCTTGAAGATCAGTGTTTTACATACAAAAGAGATTTTCATCTTTTAAAATATAATGTATTGTTACAAATTGAACTAGTGTATACAGTTATCAAATGTAGCTTTACTTCAACCAGATACAACAAAAAAAATGCTGCATACATAGCAATCCAGTGCTTTTACTTGTTATACTTCAAACACATTTTGCTCATTGCCATTTTTATTTAAATAAAAGACATGAAAACGTCTTACTGCACAGGTATATTTAAATGAGTAATATATATATATATATCAACTGAAAAAGGGAAAATACAAAAAGGTGTAAAATAGCCATGAAAGAAAAGGCAACATTTCATTTTCTATGAATGTTTTTCAACAATTCTGGGTAAAGTAATGTGAGTTTTTTCCCTTTTAATAATATACATTATGAAGTACGTCATTTATGAGACCTATTTTTTGATGATGGCAGGGGTTGATTTGTACATTGTTCTGCCTAACAATAAAGTCAGGTGATAGGGTCAGAGTAACTCAGTTGTGCTGACTTAAGAGACCAATCTACGTAGTCCTATCAGCAGTTGCTCCATACTGTATGTGCAATCAACAGCAGGGTGACAGCAGCTCCTGATAAACTCATCACAGAAGATACAGTAGAAGATAGTGTAGATCCTGTGTGTTATCATACTGGGGGCTTTTGGGGGGCACTATGGCAACCCACTTATCCATCAGTTTTTGTACATCTTGATACTGCACCACAGTCCTTGTTGGGGAACGACGAGTACAATAGTGATTACAAATAAATTCTCATTTCTTTAAAAGGCTTTTAAAAAATGACCTTAAGCTTTGTAATGTGGTGAATGAATGAACATTTCGCTTGTGTTAACTTTGCATTGTGTACAAGTCTGCTGTGCTGTCACTTTTAGTGCTTCAGAATGCTTTGAGTGACATTTTTGATTCTGTCTTTCAAAGAATAACAGTAAAAACATGTGTGCAACATCTTCAGGTAGCTAAAGCCAGTATGTTTGACAGGAGCATTGATGTCAAAATAAGTGAATGATAGACTTTGAGTGATTTTAAATAGGATAAATACAACTGAGCATCAATTCAAAATAAACATTGCTTTAGAGAGACATTAAGAGAAATAATCTGCCACCACTGTAGAATTAAGTCGCACATTTCCACAGTTTGATGATACTGGACTATATGGCTGCATATTGATATTGATTTGTTTTCTCATTTTCATGCTTACATGCTAGGTCACCAGCCACAAGACTAAAGTTCAGGTCAGCCATTATCTTTCCTTAGTATGCTTTGCTAACTTTAGGCCTGTAATAGTAAAGTTTTGTGCTTAAGAATTCTTATAGGCAACACACACACGTACACATCTAAACACATTACTTGAGATAATTGACATAATTTAAAAGTAACTTTTTTTAATGTTTGGGGTTGGATTATCTTCAACTAATGTTGTTATCTACGCAGAGTTTACTTCAGTTGAACTTAAGTGAACCCACCACATGATGCGTCCTACAGACCTCGACTCATTCGACTGTAAGTGCAACACAGTAATAAATCAGCATAAACATAAACCAAACCTCTCTCTGACCACAGATACACGTTTCTCTTATTCATCTATCAATCCACGTCTTTGCTCATATTGTGGTTTTGGATTACAATGGCAACAGGGAAAGCAGAGCAGCCCCACTGGTCCTTTTCCTCTATAACAGGGAACTCAAACCACCGGCCCAGGGGCCATTTGTGGGCCTCCGTCCTCCCTCCAGTCCGCGACATGATGTTAAAAAATAGAGACGATGTGGATATGATATTATGATAATCCTGTTGTTGTTTCATATCAATTTAAACTACCCTTTCATATACAGTTAGACACATTTAGATATGCTGTCCTTCTGATACTGGCCACTAGATGGCAACATTGCAAGGGATTGTAGTTTTGCCCATTTAAATCTGATCCTTCAGTGCCTTAATCTTGTGAGCACAGGTGTGGATTAAAATAGCTGTAAGTAATTTATGTCACTAACAGAACCTGCCATTTATTATTTCTGTGTTATTGCAGCCAGCGGATCTGATCAGTCAGTCGCAATTCATTTTACCTTCACTCATTAGAAAGGAACTACAGGAAACTGATCCCCTCCACTCAGGCCTGCTGTTCATTCAATCACTTACAAACACCCGAGAGGCCTTTTTACTGCCACCAAACGAAGTCTCTAAACATCATCTGTCACACATCCATTTCACATCCTTTTTCCAGCCTAAACAAATATTCTTATTGCTAATACTGCAAACGAGACCGTGTCAGGAACGGCTCTATATTGTGTCCGGAAAGCAATCTGCATTTTATTCTATTACATTTAAGGCTTAAGCATTATTTAGTGACTCCCTCCCAGAACCTTATGTATTACCCAGAGAGCACAAGAAGTGTAATCCCACTAAATATGAAACCTACTCCTCCTGTTAACGGCTGCTGTTCCCAAAATGTGATATTCAACTACGAGTCTTAGACTCTACTGCACTTTTTCTTGCACTTTGTTCCTGCTGAGATTTCTAACTAACAAACCAGGTTCAGTGCTGCCTTCAGTGTGTCTGTCAGTCTTACAACAACATCCCTGCTTTCCCTCATTTTAAAATTTGCCTACACTGCTGAGAACAGCCAGACTATTATTAAGCTGCATAGCTCTCAGCATCCTTGTCTGCTTCTTAATTAACCTTACCTGCACATGTTTCATTTCTATTTTTCTAGTTTATTGTCTCTCTCTGCACATATTTAATTCCTCTGCAAAAGTTTAATTGATCCAATTTCATCTATGGCCACTGTGCTATAGGTTAATTTTAATTATAATGTATGTTAAATGTATGTCTAATGTATGTTTGTATGCTGCTACTGGATGCTTGAATTTCCCTCGGGATAAATAAAGTATCTATCTATCTATCTATCTATCTATCTATCTATCTATCTATCTATCTATCTATCTATCTATCTATCTATCTATCTGATTCCACATGCAGCATATATAGAGGTGGAATTGAAACTTATGTCAGTCTTTCACTAAGCATCTCCAGTACATCCTCTCACTTCATGTTTTTTATTTACCAAGCCTGTCTGTCTGTCTTCCCTGTCATGTGATCCAACTCACCACCAGATGGTGATCAAATGACAGTCCTGTATACCAGAACTGCAACCTGGGGTCTCATGCATGGACCGAGAGCCCTCTGCTGGTCATGTGAATTATTTTAACTAAATGTGGTACTGAACATGTGGAATCATGAGAATCATCCATTTATCTGGCTTCTCTCCATTGGCTCCCTGTTTGGTGTAGAATTTAATCCAAGATTTGACTTTTAAAGCATGTCCGAGTCTGGCCCTATGCTACATAGCAGACATGTTGACCCCTTATAAGCCAGTTCAGAGCCTTAGATCCTCAGGTGGGGCCCTTCGATCCTCAGGTGGGGCCCTTCTGTCCGGGCTTACATCTAAAGGTGACCCTACTTTTGCCATCAGGGCCCTTTGACTTTACCTGGACTCGACCTTTATGTGATGTCATCTTTTTACTTCATTCAATCTACATTATTTTATTTTTCATTTCCATAACTTCCATTCTACTTCTGTTATTGTATTTTGGTATTCTTAATTTTTATATTTAACATGTTGTGTATCACAATCATTATGTACTTTGTAAACCCTGTTTTACGGTCCTATATTAATTAAGTTATATATTATTATAATTGCTTATAAATTGTCAAAATAAGGCAGATTTGTGGTTTTGTATGGAGAAAAGCCTCTCCAGCAGCCTGCAGTCCATTCCCAGACTTTACATTATACACAGTTTTTAAACATTTATATTTACTACAAGTGGTTATCGAAACAAAAATTATAAAAATACCTTACAGCCAACTTGACTTTAGACTGTGCGCAGAAAAAAATAAAGATGATGAACGTGATTTGCTGTAGTTTCTTACAACATCCGCCGACCTGTTGTCTCTTGTTGCGCACGCACACACACAGAGACAGACAGACAGACAGACAGACAGACATCATGGCGGACGTATTGGATCTTCATGAAGCGGGAGGAGAAGACTTTCCTATGGATGAGGATGGTGATGGTAATATTAATACTTGTACGCGTTAGTGCCAGATGCTCCACAACCTCGGCGTTCAAACGATGTGTAACTATGGAGATCTAACGTTGTCATTAAAAATGGCCGTGGTCGAAAAAAGAAACGTGGTGGCAGGCCTGAGGCATGCTAACGAGCTAATATTAGGCTAACAAGGCACTGGTGGTTCATTCAAACGCTCTTTGTAGGTTAGATAGGTCGTGGTTAAGATGTTTTTTTGTTTTTTAAATGTGTTTACTGGTTTTAAAGCGTGGTTTGTGTTATGTTAAGATAATATAAGTTGGTGTTATTAGCCGCCGCTAGCACGCTAGTTGAGTCTTCATTAAGCTTATAGGCTAGTTAACGTAAATATTAAACTGCGCTGATTTTACAAGTCACATCTCAACATCCATATATGTTTTAGTGTAGCTCGCATGTAACTATTGCGTTAACTACAGAAAATCTAGAGTTCAAATTACATAAACGAAGTGGTTAGTCAGCTAAAAGGTGGCTAATGCTAGTTGGTAAACTGATGTAGCAACGCGCATTGACCTCCATTGTTATTTTCAACTTCTCCAGAAAGCATCCACAAGTTAAAGGAAAAGGCCAAGAAGAGAAAAGGACGAGGCTTTGGCTCAGGTGAGTTTCCACTGTTGGGGATATTTGGTCATGCAATCTCCTACTGAATGTACTTTTAACATTGTTTGTCAGCAGGGTTTAGTGTATATATATATATATTTTTTGTTTGCAGAGGAAGGAGCCAGATCCAGAATCAAAGAGGACTATGATACTGTGGAGCAGGATGGGGACGAGCCAGGCCCTCAGAGATGTGAGTGTGGTTTGCATTTAAGATAAGAATAAGTATAAGCTGCACATTTGTCACCCTAAAGTGCATCTGCGATTTATCAAGATCCTGCTGCCTGTGTCATTTATGAGTTTAGTTAACTCACAACAACTTACAAAACTAATACTGAAATATTGTTGATATTGAACCCGTTAGTTCAGTTATTTACTTTTCCCTCCCAATCCCATTCACATCCCCCTTCTCAACAATGCTTTAAAACTCGTTTACACACGAACAGTTATAATTATTATTATATTTAATAATGTTTAGTCCGCTGAGCAATTTTAAAAACACAAATGATATTGTTTCTCATGATGTACATTATCTAAAATCATTTTCCCTATCAGTTGGATTTGTCTGTATTGTTTCTACTTACGTTTTACTTTAGATTTTCTGAAAGGATAAGATATATCTTCTATCTTAATTAACTTTGTGCAAAGAAAAGCATATTATATTTAAATTTGAGTAAATAGAAATAGAGCAGCTTGATAAATGGGTTAATATGATGTATTTTATTCATATGATTAGAATAGTTTTAAATTATTCTGGAGGAACAAACTGGAGCACAGAAGGATTCATACTGGTTAGACCACTGTTTATTTGTACGTCTTGCATGTAATTAGAGCTTCAGTAATCAGAACTCTGCTTGATTTATTAGTTTACATAGCTAAAAGTGCTGCTTGTTTATTATTTGATGCCTGACAACTTTTCTCGTGTCTTGTTGCAGCTGTGGAGGGTTGGATCCTGTTTGTGACAGGTGTACATGAAGAGGCCACAGAGGAAGACATCCATGACAAGTTTTCAGAGTTTGGAGAAATCAAGAACCTACATCTCAACCTTGACCGCAGAACAGGCTACCTCAAGGTGAGACAAATAACCATGCATCATTGGCATGTTTTGTGAGCTCTAGTAGTTCACAAATATGATATTGACCTGTACAATATAAACAGGTATTTAAAATACAAAACAGTCCAGTTGATGGTCAGGTTGGCTGTTTGCCTGCATGTGCAATTCTTCTGTTGATTAAAAGTGCAGGCCAGAAAGCATTTGATGGCATATGAAATTACTCTAATCCCGAATACCTTTCTTGTAGAGATGAGCGAACTATTTACAGCATCAGCATTGCTTGTGCAGTGCAGTAGATCCGCTGCAAAAGACGCAGTGTAGTAAAGTCAAAGTAGGCTGACCATGGTGCACTGCACTCACCATTTGTTGACTTAATTGACAGGAAACTTAATTTAAATAAGGCCATTTCCTAACAAATTGTGAACACGTATTGAGTAAATCTGATAGATAATGTCATTTAAGATGCTTTAATTATATTATGGCTACACATTTAGCACATACTCGTCCTGTAAGGTTAGTGATTTAAGAGAGTACTGATTTAGTGCGTTTACCATTGATAAAGGATCTTGTATGGATTTTTGCATCTTACTTTAAAATTTGTGAAAGAAATAGAAACACGTGTTAAGATGGTTTGACGCATAAGTGTGTAATCTGTTAATTGTGCGCCCTGCAGCTGTTTGCTTAATACAGTTTCTTTGACCATTTATGGTGATGCCACAAAGCCATGAACATCAAGCTTAAAGCCAGAACAGAATGCCATCCAATTACCAAGAAAAGCTTTAAAAGTCAAGTTTACTCAACCTGAAAAATGCCCCAGCTTCTCTGAATCACACTCATTGTTAAGTGAAAAATTATTCCAGATGCAGAGACTGTAAAACCGCATAAGTAAGTTTAGGAAACTTTTTTTTAAATATCACATTATTAAAGAGTAACTTGTTATGTATAAAACCAGACCCTGTCTGTGTTCTGTGTAAAGCGCATCTTTGCTTTATCTATAAAAGAAACGCATATTGTCACTGCTACTTCCTCCTGGTGGTGGTGTATTTTAACTATAGTCTCTTTTTTTATTGAATGTTAAAACTGCAAAATACATTGACATGCCGAGAGACAGAACTAAAGTTATCAGAGGTTTTGCAAATATTTGCGTTTATAAAGTGTGATATGCACTTTGACTGAAGTTGACTTATTGACCCATTGTTTATTAATTTTTTTTTGTCATCCAAAATGAGCAGTATTCTTCAGCTTCCCTCTAAGCCACAAGGTGGCAGCATTGATTTGAGTATGAAGTAGGAACAAAGCATCTTTGGCCTGAAACTCTTCCACCACAAATCATTTCATTTCAGTAAAGCACAGAGAATGTCTATTTTCATTACAGGCTATTCGAAGATAACATGTCTTTATACATTTTTTTTGGTTGTCTTTTCACGGCTTCAGAGAAAATGTATAGTAATAGTTGACTGTGCTTTTCTGCTAAGTTCAAAATTAGTTTGCACAGTGTTCCCAGACTGTGGTATAAGCAGGGCTGTTAAAATAGGACGCTGAATAATACTGTTGGATTATTGTGTGGCGAGTAATCCTGTTTCTGTGCTGTGTTGTTGATTTAAACGCTACCACATTCCAAAGCAGTGATGCTATAAATGTGCAATAACTCACATGACGTCCTGATGATAACTGTCCCTAGGGATATGCACTGGTGGAGTATGAGACGTACAAAGAGGCCCAGGCAGCCATGGAAGGGCTCAACGGTCAGGACATGATGGGCCAGCCTATCAGTGTTGACTGGGGATTTGTCAGAGGGCCCCCCAAGAACAAGAGAAGGTGTGTATTTATCTGTTTGTGGTGGCAGCAACTTGCCGTAAAGGGAGGGTTATATTGTGTAAAAAATCTCATCATGTTTATCACCTAGCCCTTGATGTTTGCAATGTTGACAACGTAACTATTTAAGTATCTAAATAATATATTTATTTAATGGCTTTTAATTTAAAAGAATTAATAATTGAACTGTATTTTCCTGTTTTTAACGTGATGTGGTTTTTCACAGGACTGGCGGGCGACGACGCAGCAGAAGTCCAGACAGAAGGCGGCGTTGAGTTTGGCAGTTGTCATTGGCTAGAGGAGTTGTCTGTCACTCTGACAGTTTATAATCCACTCGTTCTGTCATAAGAAACTAATTTCAAAGTTTTTGTACAATATTTTGGAGTAACAGTTGTTGTGGAATTTAGTTGTGCAACTACAAACATTTTGAGATATGGAATTGCTCTTCTTAAAAGATGAATAACAAAAGAATAAATTCGCTCAACCGCAGCATCTTCAGTTTTTTGTAAATTGCTTATGCTGCGTTAAATTGCAACAGACGGATATCCATTCAACTCTCTGTGAAACTAGTTTTTTTTTTTTTTACTTTCAAGACCAACTACATGTTTCCGGTTGTCATGATTCCCTCAAAAAGCATGTTTCAGTTTGCTCAATGTTGCGTGCATTTTATTGTGCTGGAGTGTTTTTGTTTTATATTACTTGGAGGGGGGAGAAAAAAAAATTAAACTTTTTAAAAGGTAAACGTGTGTGTGTGTGTGCCCTGTTTTTGTGTTTTTATTTAGCACCGCTAATGACGTAGGGTTTACATCATCCTGGATGACCTCACCCAGGCATTGATGCCGCCCCGGCTATTTTGTCCACTCCGAAAGCACCTGTCACTCTGGACTCAGTGCCACACTCATAGGCTGCCCGGACTAAAACCCTTGCCCCTTTTATTTTTCTGCAGCCAATTGGCAAGCGAATATTTTATACTCTGTCGTTCTCATTTGATGTTTACTCTACTGGGGGGGCATCAGTCAAAGTCTCCGCGAACGACCATTGGTGCATATAAACGTCAATAAAACAAACTCTGCTCTCTGATTGGTCGGTTTCTCGTGGGGGCGGGCTCTAGCCTACGGTTGACGTTGTTGTTGTAAGTGGTGGAGAAATTACTTTGTCGGTGGTGGTCCGGTTTGGGATTTTACGCTCAGTTCCACCTATGAAGATGGTAAAAAGTTAAGAAGTGCCGGTCTTGGAACCGTGTGAGCCATTCACAAGTTGATACTTGCTGGAAAACTAAATGGGACGATGGAAAAAAAACATCTGCGAGGCCGCTCAAGGTAAGCAGTAAAGGGATACTCTAGCTACTAGCATCAACGCTAGCTAACGTTAGCTGCTGATTAGCCAGGCTTGAAGTAGCCACTTGCTAGCCCCATACGTTACGGTTCGGTCTACTTACTGAAAAATGGACAACACTTCTTTATAATGAGCATCCATGCACGGGTATGGCACTTCCCCCAAAGGCGTGATTAAATTGTATATTGCGTGGAAATAAAGTTATGGGTGCTGAGTGGTAACGGTGCATGAAGCCCATGCGTTTGAACGCCTCAAATGCGTTTATGTAAGCATGTGTATTGTTCGTTGATATTTTGTTTTAAAGAATAGTCGTAGCCATAATAGCTGGCTCAGAGTCAACATTTAAGACAAGCCATCATCAGTAGCATTGATCTGCATTAATGCATTTCGCGAACAGAATTGGTTGCTCCGTTAAATTAGCTTTATGAGCTGTCAACTAGAGATGTGCAGTTTAAACATTGCGTTTTAAAGTTGTGCTGAATGGGGGATCAGTTCTGTGTTTCGTAATTGTTTATCAATTATGCTTTGGCGTTGAGAAATGAACTTGCATTTTCTTCGCTAGCCTTTCTAAGAGCTTGCAGTCACGATCCAGATCATGTGTGCCCGGTTTTTATTTGAGGTGCATGTGTGATGTAACATTTACTTAAAGCACCAGCTTAGAGGGAATTGTTAGAGTTAACTGTTTACACTCTACACACGTGTGTTTCCTGATGTCTCACCACATCGACTGGTTTCATTAAGCCACCGTTAAGTGGATAACTTGATCTAGTGAGTCAAGTCAGCAGCAGAGCAAGGCAATTTCTTTCCCAAACCTTGCTGCCAGATATATGTGATATGTTCCTGGACTGGCTGGTCATTGGGTTCAGTGTTCCGTGCTCATTTTAAAGCAGGGACTGGGGGTTATTTGCCGTCATTTCCAACATCACCACGATGAGAGAGGGTTGCATTACACTCTCCCTTGAATTATTCAGGTTCTTGTGTTTGTGGGCTCTTTTGTTGGCTGGGACACCAAGACAGACAAGTCAACATTAAAAGTATGACAGAGTTCTTTACTGCACTTGGCTTATAGGGACTGCTTAAAGAAAAAACCATATCCTGCTGGAAACACTGCAGCTGTAAGCAGGAACCTCATCTTACAAGGGGAATTTTTTTAAGAAGCGAGGTATTGTGGAGTAGGAAAAATAAATGCATCCAGCCCTCCCACCTGTGCTCAGTCCCTCTAGTAGCTGTCTGTGATGATGTTTGAAATGAGGGACACACAAACGACTGCCTGACAGTTGCAAAGAAGACTGTAGTAGCGTGGAAAGTTAGAATGAACGACCATGTTAATGCTGCTTATTATGACCAGTAGGACTGTCTGTTTCTACTAGTCACTGTGGCAGTGTATCTCTGTGGATGGTCAATAAAGTAATCAGTTGTGGGATCTACCATGAACTGTGGCTCAAAGATTAAAAAAAAAAAACCTTTTCATACCCTAATGCACTTTCTCTGTGAGGTTGTGGGAGGTCGCACTGTCAGGTTTCATTTTGCAAGTCCTCAACACTTCAAGGAACGTATTGATGCATACAGCAGCACAGAGAGCACCTCGGGCAAGCATTTTAAGTAGGGTGTCGCATCCTTCCCTTCGCAATCCAAATTCCAAACTGGCTGGGTGTAAAAGGAAAAAATATCAAGAGATAAAAGTTGCTTTTTTTTTACTACTCAGTACAACAGAAGCACATTTTTAGCCACTTTTGATAGTAATTACATGATAATAGCTGGTTTGCGAATGCTTGAATGGCTCTATCAGTCAACACACAAAAACAGCCGGTAGATAAATCCACTCGCAACCTGCCTCCAGTGGCACGGAACAAAGCAAAGTGTTTTTAAAACCTTTGTTCACTGAGATACTGCAATTTTATTTTCTTTGAGCCACTTGAGTTTGGTCGATCCGAATGAAAATGTGTGGCTTGCAATTTGCAACTTATCGTGCAGAGATCTCTGACAGTATTCAAATGGGCTGCGGTAAGCGTTTCACACAGTAGACTGATTTGAAAATGATACAGGCGAGATGACACGGGTGATGAGTAAACCGTTGTCACTGTTATCTTCAATCATCGGTAATGTATAGACACTTGTAGTGCCTGTGGAAAAGGATTTTTTATAGAACTATTATCTGGAAGTTGCAACCGTTTTGCTGTGACACATAGCCACAAGTCATATGATTACACAACGGAGGGTAGAACAGCAAAGAACAAGTATGGGCCTTAGTTTGCAGTTGACCAAAGCAGGGAGGTAGTTGAACTTGTTTGTTTTTCTGGTGGAAAACATGTTTAGTCTGGAGATTAGTTCTCTCAAAGGTTTTGTGTTACTATCTTAACCATCTTTCATATCCTTAATGTTTTTAACTTGGATCTTTTTTTTTTTTACTGGTTTTGTACTGGACGGCTGTTATGACTGCCTTGGTGAATATAGTGTTTCACGGGGTTACCATGCTGCTTCAGCAACGCAGAGGGTATGAAAATTTAACTTCGTCTTTCTCTGGGCTCCCCCAAACAGCTGCTCACGAAGTGTGTATGTGTGTGCGCATCAGGGATCCAGTGTCGGTTTCAGAGCCAGGCCCATTTCGCTGCGGAGGTATTCCCAAAAGGATCTCTCAAACACAGTCAGATTAATAAGTAAATAGATGAGTGCTTCTTCAGGTTAGTAGGACAAACACATGGCTTTTGTGTCAAGTATGTGTATGTTCCACTCAATTTGCAGCGTAGAAGCTCAGCCTAGAACAGGCAATAAAGCTGGACCTAGCCGAGCACCTGCTTGATTTTGGACACTTTCAGCTTTCATTAATGTCAAGATGAAGACATTGCATATCATAAATCTCCTATCCACACGGCCATGCATCTGTGTTCTTATCTCTAAGTGGCACCGTTCAAAAAGACCGGAACAGATGTGACGCGAAAGAGAAAACTACCTTCGTCCCCACACTGCCACAGCGAGACGGGGATCAATAGGTGGCTTGTCTCCGAGAGGCCTGTGTGTCCAGACAGCAACTCATAAAACTCTTTGGAGCCCCACCCTCCCCAGCATAGCTGGTTGCCTGCCAGTCTTGTGACACAGCAACCAGCCAGTGCCCAGGGCTGTTTGTGTCAGGGTGGAGAGACCTAGAACTGAGGCATCTACCTGGGTGCCAGCAGCTGCTTGACTGCGAACAGCATGGTGTGGACAGTAGGCCTTCACTGAATGCTTCGGGATTATATTTAGATAACTCACAGATGATGTTATACAATAGAAGTGACTCTAAAGTAGGCTGGAGCGGTTATATGAGTAAAGATATAGCCTTAAATACCAACCGAGCCGGTATAATCCCATACAGCATGAGACGCCACTCCCACAAGAGAGAAGCCATGGTAATGAGAGCTTGCTGTATCAGTTACTTTATGCTCTTCACCTTTTCCTTCTCTACATAAAGCACAGGGTGGGGAATTAATAATGATTATACTTGCCTGTTGTCACTAGCCAAAACCTCACAGTCTGACTTGCCCTGTCAGAAATGTTGGCACATCTCATCATCTAGCTGTTAAAATAACATCGTTACTTCATTTAAAGATGATTTGCATTTTAAAGTGGATAAATTACCATTGGGTTTTTTTTTTTAAAACCATAATTTATTCAGAGGGTTTCACTAAGAGCAATGTTCTCTTTTCAGGAACACCCTGATCACATTCACTCAGTTACACATTCACACCTGGAAGCTGCAGAGCACAACCACAGTCTGATCTGCTGGTCACTGACCAGCTTTAGTGGAACCGTTGGGGTTAGGGGCCTTGCTCATTGTCTTGCTGGTCACAAGCTCACTTCTTTAACCTGTAGACCATCACTTTGGCAATTGAGAATTTACCTATTCTAGATGCTGTCTGTCAGCTTTGTTGTATATTGTCACAGATATGATGAGAAGATGTGATATGATATGAATTGAATAGAATTTGATAATTGTTTTCCCCCTTATTTTGAAATCATTATTTCAGTTTTGATCAATGCTCCTGCAGTTGGGGCAGGTGATTTATCTTACAATAATGTAGATAGTTTTGAGATAGGGTAAAATCTCCCCAAATCTGGCTCTGGCTCTCAAATTGGGTGGAATAAGTTTGTTGTATTATCCTCTTTTGCCATTATCTTCTTCATACATTTCTTACATGTTTATATGGTTTGTTGTATACCTAATTTTATATCCAAAGCCCTTCCACACTTCCTGAGTCTCTGTTTTTTTGGGTAGCAATGTTACTTGCTGCTGTATGGAGTCATAAAGTAAATCAACAAATTGCAGTATCAATGACACAGCTGATTTGGCCTCTCTGGAAATGTTGGTGTGAAAATATTTTATCCTCTCATATAGCTGATAAATTAATTAAATCCAACCTAATTTAATACTCCACAGTTAGAGCCAGACAGGAAACTACAAAAATAACTGGTTAGCTGTTGGATTTAAAAGCTAATGGAGGGAGGAGTGTTGGATTAGATTGTGTTGGTACCTGTCACACTGGCTGGTAGAGTTGATGAATTCACCAGACATAGCCAAAGTCTGTGAACATTTGTTTAGAGAGTAATGTTTTCCTTTGAAAGCCTAATAGCAGGTGAATAATGAGATTTAGATGACACTTTAGCATGTGGTCAAATGTGTAGTAGTTTCCTGTGCAGACCAGAAGATATCAGTCCCTCCCGCCCTGCCCAGTTGATCCAGGACGACAGGAGTAATCCCACACACAGCCCTGATGAGGAGCCTGTCACCCAGGATGACATCACACAGGGAGTGACGTGAAGTCGCCCTGCTGTGTACAGGGCCTGGCCTGCAGCACGTGGGGATTCACATGAGCATTAGTGCTGCCTGCATGCAGAGGCGGGTGCTTGCTTAGCCAGTGGCTTTAGCTCTAGCTGGGCTTGGTTGGCTTCACATTCAGGCTGATTTAGCAGGGATAGATCTTGAACAACGGAGCTAGTCTTATCTTGC